CATCAGCAAACTGCTGCTTGGTGACCAGCCCCCGACTGACCCATGCCCACGCCAGGATTTTGCCACTGCGGTAATTTTGGATCTGCTGGAGGGCGAACGCGTCAGCTCGTAAGCTGTTCTGGATCGTCAGCCTGGGCACAGTACACTCAAAGGATCTCAAAAGCACTGTACTGTACTCACTGCGCTGTATCTTTACAGTACGTATTGGCTACTGTACAATACTGTACAGTAACTACAGCACCTTGTGGTAGAGCAAGCGACACTGCACTGTACAGTACAGTGTACAGTACAGAACAACAATACAGTACTGCAGAATACTGTACTGTACAGTATTGCGTGCAGAGGGCTCAAACCTGGGGTTGCCGTCCACGGAAAGCTCGGTTGTGTGCAGCACTCGCCGCAAGGCTGCGATGTCTGCTGAACCCGATGCGACCCTCATCCAACTCCGCCGAATGGAGTGGAAAAACTGATGCCACGCGTCGTTGGGGGCTCCAGCTGCGCCCCAGCCCCCAGGAATGTGCAGCCCGTCGCCATCTTCGTCCTTGCCGTGGATCAAGATTGCATTTGCCTGCCGGCGCAATGCAGCACTGTACAGTATATTCTAACTGCAATCAAATCCATCAAGAAGTACTGTATACCGGACTATACAGTACAGTACTACAGTACAGTACAGTATGTACTGCATGCGTAGACACCGTACTGATCAGGGTGGCGTTTACTGTACTGTGCTGTAGTGGGTGTGGACTGGTATTTGTGGCAGATTCACATGCTTTTCACATGGTGTGGCTTGCTATTCATAGACACCGTCGGGGTTGCGTTTACTGTACTGTAGTGGGTGCGGATTGGTATTTGTGGTAGATTCCCATGCGGATTGTACCACACACTGGATCCGTACTTTACAGTACAGTACCGTACTTACTGTGCAGCACACTACTGTACAGTACTGCGCTGCAACAGCCGCCTCCTTCTCGAAGGTCTTGCGAATCTTGGCGAACCGTGCGGTGGAGTGCACGGACGCTGCGTCGCAGAGCACCAGGGCCTTGTGTGTGGCATCCAGCTGGAGGGACTGCCTCTTGCGGCGGATTTCCGTTTTCAGAAACTCGAGGTAGTGCGACATTGTCTCAGCTGCCCACATGTGAGAGTGGGAGTCGTGATTGCTGGAAATGTGCATCATACCACCGAGTTCTGCATTCATTTCGGAAATCACGCGCGCAGTGAGCATCTTGGGCGATGCTGTGACATATGCACGTCCCATTGTGCCATCAGCCCATGTGAGGGTGGTGGTGGTGCGAGCGCAGCGGTTATTATCCACGGGGATGAGCGTGGAGCCAGCATTCAAGGCTGCTCTGTCCCCGGGTGGAGGGTTTGTGGCTGCTTCAGATGGCAGGCCCAGTGTGGCACGCAGGCTCTGCAGCATTTTGGCCTGCGTGGGGGTGCTGGGCTTGCCAGGGATCATCCCCTGCAGCGCAGCATCTTTGAACAGCACCCTCTTCGGACCTTCGTAGTGGGTGCACCACACCTGGTCGAAGTTGCACGTCCTCAGGTCACAGCGGCGGCTACTGTACAGTACAGGAGAATTACAGTACTGTACAGTATTACTTACTGTACATACAGTATTGCCTACAGTACAGCACAGTGCAGTTCTTACATCACAGACGAGAGGGAGAGGAGAGGAGAGGAGAGCAAAGGGCGAGGAGAGGGTATTGTGCTGTACTATACTGTCCTACTGTTCAAGACCCTGTGCGGTACTGCACTGTAGAGTGCACTTACTGTACAGTAGCATACGCCGGCAGGCACGCTGTTGCCAACAGGATGATGCCGCACCACAGTAAATTCTTTATTGCACTGTACTGTACAGTACTGTACTGTACTGTGTATGCAGCACAGTACTGTACAAGTTGCAGCTCTTGAAGCAGCCCAGATTCAGCTCCGGTCGGATGTTGTGGCGAGTCCGCAAGAACTCCACGCCCTGGCGAACCCTCTCCATAGATGGGTGGTCATATGGAAGGTGGCGGCCTGTGGTGTTCTTGCCCACAGCGTGTGCCTTGAGGCCCAAGCTCGTGCAAACCTTCCGCACGTGCCTCCTGATCCAGGGAAAGACAAAGAACACACGCGCGTTGCCCAACACAGAACATTACAGTGCAGCACAGTACAGTACTTACAGTACTGTATGGTGATTGCCTGAAGGTCTCGTGCTTCTGCGTTAGCACGATTGGGCGGAGCTGCTGCAGAGCCTGTTCGAAGTCCAGCTCTGACGCCTGACAGGACAGCTTTCAGTACGTTGTGTAATGTACAGCACGCAGTCTCAAGAACGGACAAAGCAGCAATGTACTGGGGAATAGCTGTGCTGTTATGTGCTGTTGTGGTTCCCCTGCAGCACCATCCACTCCTACAGTACAGTCCAACACATTACAGTACTGTACAATACAGTGCTCGGTGACCCCATGGCCAACAGCATATGCTAACTGCAGTCCGCCTGCCCATTTCTGCCACACAAACGTACAACAAAAAAAACGCTGCGCTGCAGCTCGGGCCTGAGCAACTGCTTTCACGTCCTTGGCACTCGCGCCGGATGCCAGCTGGGAGTCTGCCTGCGCGAGCTTCAGCTCCCCGACACTCTTGGCAAAGCCCTCCACCTGCTCATTCCACAGCTCTACCAGCGAGCTGCAAACGCTGCTGGCATATGCCAGAGTAACTTCCTCACCTGCGATAACGTGGTCCATCAATAGCTTTTCCAGCGCAACACCCAATGCAAAAGGAATTTGGTGAAGGCCCTTCGATGTGCTGAACTTGCTGTTCGTGTGCTTCTTGACCAATCCAAGCATCCCTCGCACCGAGTTCGGCACCTCGCTGCAAAGCTTGGACATTTCGGGTGCGCATTTCACGAATGCCCTCCACTGGAAGTGGAGGGCAGATTTGGACCATCGGCCGAAGCATCCTTGGAAAGCAGCGGTCCTGCGCTTTTTAAGCATGTACTGCTCTGGCGACTTGATCTTTGGGTCTTTCTTGGCCTCCTCCCATTCCTGAGCTGCACGGCATCACGTTGATTGCACTCCACACAATACTGTACATACAGTACTGCACTGTACCGTGAGGGTGGGACTATACTGTAAAGTACTGTACTGTACAGAATACTGTACTGCAAGGCTGAGTTTCGTCTAGCAGCGCGACCTTGCGGAAGATATCCAAGCATGCATTCTTGCCCTTGCGCTCTATGTTCGCGCTCCTGCGGGTGTACAGCCTGCGCTCTTTCTTCATCTTCCGAAGCTCTTGCACGGAAGGGGCGTACATGACCACCCTTTTCTCTGTGTCCTTGGCGGGCTTGTCGCGACCTGTGGCGGGCCGGTCGCATGCGGAGCTGGCCGAATCGCGTGATGTCTTGTGCTTCAACCTGGTTCCTGAAAACCAGTTGGCACCGCCAACGGGCGCAGCATCTGTCTTGGACAGCCGCTGCCGCTTTGCTGCAGGTTCTTTGTCCACGATGGCTGCGGAGTCCGCCTGCCTGGAGGAGGACGAGGCCTCTGTCGTCTGCCGCTTTGCAGATGGCTCCTGCGCAAGTGCTTGTTCGACAGCGTTCCATATCTCACTTGCACGTCTTTTAGGCTGTGGCTTTGCAGCTGGCTGCTGCACAAGCGCATCTTCCACAGCGCTCGGTACGGCGCTCGCACTCTGCTCTTGCCGTGGCTGCTCTCGGAATTGCACCCAGAGTTCATCCTGCTCTTTGCTCGGCAAGGCGTTCCAATCACTCTTGTGAGTCTTGTACTTGCCCCACATGTTCTTCAGCTGCTCGGTTGTCTGATCATGCGTGACTGGCGGGGCCCATAAGCCTGTCGGTGGCTTGTAGTACTCCACGGCGGGTTTCACCCGATACTGCTTCCAGTCGAACTCAGTTCCAATGGACTTTGTCCTGTGCTCAGCACTTAAGTTCTTCCAGCCTTGCGCGTGCACCAGGGCAGCCATCACCTGCACAGTACAGTATGCTTTGAATGAAAGACCGCTGCTGTGCAACACTGTACTCAGTACTGTACAGTACTGTACACCGTATGCTGTATGCATGCCAACTGCGGTTCCGCACTGTGTACATTACTGTACTGTACTATACGGTACTGTATATAGTACACGAAGATACATTCCACGGCACTGTCCGCCTACAGTGCAGTACAGTACTGTACAGTACTGTACTGTAAGTACAGTACAGTACAGGTGTCCCCGCCTGAGCCTGCAGCACGGTGCCAGCCATTGCGTTGCCGACTAGGTCTTTCGCAAGGCTAGGTTTCTCTCTGATAAATTTCTCCACCTCCTCGGCAAACTCAAAGTCGTTAGGGAACAAACCCTGGCAGAGCCACTGCTCACGGAGGGTGAGGTATCTCTCCATCCTTGCCGAGTAGATTTCGTGCGACGGCCGCACACATGTGGAGGTTGCATAGCTCATCTCGGGCTTTCGCTTGAGTGATGTCTGCGTGTCGATGAAAATGTCAATATCGGCACGCAGCGCAGCCTCCTCTTTCGCCTTTTCCACTACTTGAGCTCCAAGTGCTGACCTTGGACTTTCCTTGGGCAGGCTCGCATCGAAGACTTGCTCTGCTAAAGAGACGTCCGATGCCAAGTCTGCGAGGGTCTGTCCCATGGCCGACTGGAGGTTGAAGGGTTCGCGGCCTGACTGGACGTCTCCTAGTGCGTAGACCCGGTTCCTGCGCTGCGGCAACAAATAGCCTTGCGCGTCCAGCTTCTTGAATTGGAAGGTGTAGCCTAGCGATGCCATGTCGCTCTCCATGACCTGCATGCACTGCACTGTACTGCGCTGTACAGCACTATACCGTACTGTACTGGGAATATCTGTGCTGTTATGTGTTGTTCCTACAGTACAGTCCAATACATTACAGTACAGTACAGTACTGTGCAATACAGTACTCGGCGACCCCATGGCCAACAGCATATGCTAACTGCAGTCCGCCTGTCCATTTCTGCCACATGTACAACAAGGAAACCCTGCGCTAAAGTCATGTTCCCCGACCGGCCTGGACCAAAGGAGTCTTTCTCTTGCCGTTCTTCTGCACCGGCGAATCCAAAATGCCTACGACTTGCTCAAAGAAGAGAAGGGCTGGAGCCAACTCTTTGCTCGCTTGCAGGACACCATTCTGGTACGTGCTCCCAGAACAGCCCTTGCCTTTCTGGTAGCCTGCATGTGCACAGACAAAGACAGATTGCCATGCGATACATCACAGTGCAGCGCTGCACTGTACATACAGTACTGTACAGTACAGTGTAGTGATGTAGGTTGCGGTACAAGTATGCGGAACACTACAGTACTGTACTGTACTGCGTTTCGACCTGTACTGTACAGTACAGTGTGGCCGTCCAGCAAAGCACTAACGTTATGCCGAGCAACAATCCTGGTAGTCTGTCCGCGAGTTGTTCATCCTTGAAATGGACTTGCAGCTGGAGCCGACCACAAGAACGTCGACGTCAGGCGCCTCGTGTACTCGCCGGCACGTGTGGCAGAATGCAGTCTTGCCCTTGGCGAACATGTCCACCGTTTCGAAAAGGCAGAAGGTGGGCTTGTGTGCGCGCATCAGAAAATCGCGCTTGCCTTTATCCAGCTCCACTGCCAGCACATGTTTGACGCTGATGGAGACCTGAGCGTCAAACGATCACACGATACAGCGCAGGAAAGTATACAGTACCATGCTGTACTGTACGGTATACAGGTACAGTACCGTACTGTACTACACTGTATTGTACAATGCAGCACGGTCTCAAACAAGGGAACCGCCCGGGTAACCGCACTTCCCGACGCAGCTGTGCAGTAGGGACACGGTACAGTCACAGTACTGTACAGTACAGTGTTCATGGCAGCTTGTAGGAGGAACCCACCCCACCCAGGTATACACGGAGTCACGGAACGAAGGCGGCTGGCCCGGAATATATGCTAACTGCAGTTCTCTGCAGGGTCTTGACAACAGAAATTATACAGGAAGGGTTGCCATCCACGTTGCCCGCCAGCCGCACATAGTACGGCACTGTACGGTACTGCAGAATGCGTGGACTACTGTACTGCACTGCACTGTACAGTACTGTACGGTACAGTACTGCATAGTACACTACTGTACTGTGCGCTAAGGTGGCCTGGTGTTGCTCGGCCAGGAACTGCAGCGTGTGCTTGAACACGTTCGTGCACACATCTGTCCCTGAGCAAGTGCTGCCCAGCTTGATTTCGCAGCCATTCAGCCCTTTGACGTTAGCGCTCAGCTTCCCTCGATCTGCCTCCGACAGACGCTGCAAAAAGTAGCGAGCTGTGTCCCGGAGGCTGAGAGCGGGGATCTCTGCCTTCGGAGTGGCTTCCTCCTCCACGACATCGGATTCCACGGCCACCGTCCTCCTGCAGCCGTGGCCGCCCCGAAGTCGTATATTTGTCGACGGGGCTCGGAGGTTGCTGAGCCGACAGCTGTAGACGGCCAGGTGTTGGTGCAACCTGGCTTTCCACGCCGTCTGTTCGGGTGCCGTGGCCTGCTTGTAGGCAGCAGCCTTGGTGAGCTCCCAGGTGGTCGTCAGCCGCCTGTGCTGCACAAGCGAGGCCTGGATAGCCACCTTGTTATCCGTCTTGGTCTGCACCAGAAGCATCTCACCACCAGCAGTGTATCTGCTGGTGGTGAGGAGCTCGAAGCTCTTCAGCTTCTGATTGGCTGCCTCCCGCACTCTGTCCATGAGGGTGCGGGACAGAGTGGCCACGGCATACTTCTTGGGAGCGGACGCCGAAGTGGTGCTTTGAGACTGGTCACCTTCCTCGTTCGTCTCCTCACCCTTCTTGTCTTCCTTCTTGTTCTTGGCTCCCTCCGCTGGCCTGTACTTGACAGAGCCGATGGCCCCGTGTTTGCGATAAAAGGCAAGAGGCTTTGGGAGCTTACGAGGGTTGGACACGGGGTTGGCCCACGTCTTCTCTCCGTACATTGGCACGTTGCTCTGCACGCAGTGGTCAGCTTTCCTGGCTTTCCATAACTTCGGGTCAGAGATGCGGAAGGGCTTGCCCACATCCACGGTGCCGTAGACTCGGTCCTTGAGACACACCCAGGTGCGGCCAGGCCGTAGTTGCCGGTTGCGGATCTCCAACGTTTTCTCTCCCTGGAAGATGCTCTGAAGGATCTCCATTTTGCCAATGGAAAGCATGGTCTCCATGTTGGCAGGTCTCGACTCCTTGGGACAGACCAGAAGTGCACTCCTATTGTACTGTAAAGTATATTACAGTAATGTGCTGCACTGTACTATGGCATATACGTATATGACCTGTGTTCAGCAGGGCCGACTGCTTTACACAGTACTGTATGTACTGTACTGAACTGTACTGTACTGTACTGCAAACACAGAACTCCCCATTGCCCTCCTCATCTGGCTCCACTTCCGGATCGACTTCGTGCACCTCCTCCTCCTCTGCTTGTTCACCTTCGTCATCTTCCTGCTCCTCCTCCTCCTCCTCCTTCTCATCCTCCTCCTCCTCCTCCTCCTCCTCCTCCTCCTTCTCCTGCTCCTCCTCATCCTCCTCCTCCTCCTCCTCCTCCTCTCCTTCGCCCTCATCATCTTCCTCCTGTTCAGCATCAACTTCCTGCTCCTTCTCCTCGCCCTCGCCTTTTTCATCTGCCTCCGCTTCCTCACTGAGTTCCTGCTCCTGCTCCTTCCCTCCCTGACTCTTTTCTTGCAGCCCCTGGTTGTTTTCCTGCCGCTGCTCCTCTTTGTTGCTTTCCTGATGCTCCTCCCCTCCCTCGCCCTTGTCCTCTTCCTCCAGTTCCTCAACTTCCCTCTGCTCATCATGCAACTGCTTGTCAGCCTGCTCTTGCTGCTGTTCAAGCCCCTGATGACTGGTCTCACCTGCCTCATCCTTATTCTTGTCTGGGATGTCCACCTGCTGATTCTGCCTCTGCTGCGGGAGCTCGTTCTTGGCCTCACCTTTGGTCTCAGTGTCCTCCTCCTTTTTCTCTGCATTCTCATCCTGGCGATTCTCCGTCAGTAGCTTCGGGGTCTCCGCAGGCATCGGCGGCTCCTCGCCCTGTTCCGGGGACTCGCTGTTGGCCGTTCCCTCCTTTATCTGCTCCCCTCTCTGCTCCTGGGACTCGGCCTGTTTGTCCTTCTGCTCCTCCGTGATCTGCGGGGCCATCGTCTCAACTTCATCCCCCTGCAAAACGTTCTCCTGATTCTGCTCCTCAGGCTTGTCGTTCATCGGTTCCATCTGCTGGCCAGGAAAGCGATCATTGTACATTTCACAAACAGGGGCGGGCTTCACTGTAGGCGGCACGGGGATCACCATTCCGATCTGCTCATCGCCTTCGGAATACGGGAGAAGAAGATCAAAGTGGCTGCATCGTCTGCCGTCCTCGCCTGTGAGACAGCGGAAGTACACATGGACGTCATAGGTGTCGTCGGTACAATCCCCATAGATGGCATCCTCGTTGATGCCGACAACCCACTGCAGCACCTCCAGATAACAGCGGATACTGTACTGTACAGTACACCACTGCGCAGAACTGCGCTGAAGGAAAGTCTTTGGGCATTGTGACTTATGCAAATGCTTCCCCCCTGTGTCTGGTCAGATCCACAAACATGCGTAACGACTTCAATTCTCGAATGTGCTGTACGTACAGTACTGTACTGTGCCCCTCATGCCCCCATGCCTGCTCAGCAGGTGCTAACTGCGCAGTTTCCCTATGAGCGCCTCTGCGTCCACGGTGCACCGTATCCGCAGCTCCAGCGAACGTGCAAGCCAGTGCAGCTCTTGCACGTCCACAGGCATCTGCTGGGCGGCGTTGTGGGCGAGCCGCGCCAGCCACTCCGGAAATTCCAGGTCGGCTGTTGCCTCCAGCGCCAGGTTCCGGAGTGCGTAAGCCGCCCCTGCTTCCAGCCGCTGTTGCCGACTGTTCCTGGCGAAGCCCAACGACGTTCGGTCTATGCCTCGGGAAACAATGTGCTAGCACTGCAGGACAGTGCAATGCGTACCGTACTGTACAGTACTGTACTGCACAGACATGTGGCACAGAAAGGGCGGACGCTCCAATTGATATGCTAACTGCGGTTATTTGTCCGGTTTCGGAATTTGACACAGTACTGCGCAGTACAGTACAGTACTGTATTGTAATTACCACGCCGTACAGTACAGTACTGTAGTACAGTACAGTAGTACTGTACATTACTGTACAGTATGTACTGTAATGTATGCCGTGCCGCGCAGGTATCTGGCACAGTCGAGGCCGGCAATCAGGGCATGGTAGCAGCAAAGTCCATCAGGAGGCACGGGTATGATCTGGGCTTGGGTGCGTCTCTCAACCCGCTGCATCCCTGCTTCCGTGGTGGCTTGGATGGCCCTCAGTGCCAGTGCCCGTGCTTCGTCCTCGAACGTGACGCCCAGCTGTTCCAGTCTGGCTGCTGTGAAGCTGGTCCTACCCGCTCTCCGACCCACGTGGGAGTTCGGCTCCGCTCTACAGCACTGGAGACCGTTGTTGAATTGCACCTGCCATGAAATAGGCCCGGGGAAGGACATAAACAGCAGCTGCTCGGCGGACGGATTTGCCTGGCGCAGGATCTCCAGATCTTCGTGATGCTGCTGCGGCGACGCCCCTCCTTGCACCACCATGCCCACTGGTTTCACGTCGAGAGCCTTCCAGCGTTCCTGCAGCTCGGGTGTCTTCAGCACGTCCCGCAGGGGCGTCCCAGAACTCAAGATCAAGTCCCGGCAGACAAGATCGGAAGTGGCAGCCAGGAGGCCGCGAGGGTCGGTCGCAGAATGCAGATACCTCAGCATTCCCTTGTACACGCCAACCTCGGCGACACACAGCTCCGGCCCCATCTGCGACATGGGTGCTAGGAACTCCGCCGTAATGTCTTCGGCAGTTGCAAGCACGGCAGGCGTCTCAGTCTCAGCATCGGCTAGTTCCAGCACGGCTTGGCCCAGTTCTTGCGAGCTCGAATGCTTCAGCAGTGCCCGGATAGCTTTCTGCGACTCCCCTGCTGCTGAGCCTTGATTTTCCAGCTCCTTGAGCGACTTCTCCACCGCCCCGCTCTGCTCAGCAGCTTGCATACTCTGCAAGAAAGCACAGGCTGCAGCAGCGGATTTGTGCACCTGCGGCATTCAGATGAAATGAAACTCAATCTACAGTACTGTGCAGTATCATGTTGTACAGTACAGTACAGCACAGTGCGGTACTGTACAGTACAGTACCGCAAGTAGCAATGCAGAGCAGCACACAGCTTGCGCTACGGTACATGACTACTGTATACAGTACAGTACAGCGTTGTGCTCCACAGTACTTTACAGTAGTTGAGCACGGCGATGTCCAGTTCTGCAGAAGACGGGCCTTGAGCAGCATTCCCTTCTTCCCACTCCATTCGGCGTGGAAGCCGTCAGGACGGCTTCGCAAATTGAAGCCAGAAGGAACTTCATCTAGGTGGGCGAGTGTCTTGAGGGCAACCAGGCACAGCCGGTCTTCCACCTGCTGAATGCGGCCGTTCTGCAGCGACTCCACCAAGAGACAGCGTTTTGCTTCAATCGTAGCTGAAGAGGCAACGGACAAGTCCATGCTCTGCAGGAAGGCAAGTGCGTCTTTGGATGATTTCAACTCGAAATCGCAGAGAATTCTCTCTGCCTCTTCCTTCCAGGCGATCGCCACCGCATCCCTTGCCTCACCCCAATGCACCGCTTGAAATCTCCGGTAGGTGCTCTTGTCCAGGTTTGCCCGGGTCTGTTTCATGAATCGGTGGACACCCGGTGGCAGGGCGGGCAGTTTCGCATCGCCCTTCTCTGAAGCAAGTGGGGCCTCAGAGACAGCGTCGTCTTCGGCCGGCGGCCCAGCGCTGGTGGCAGGCTCCCCCGGAGCTTGCGCCACCTGCTGGCTGGCCCGCCTGGCTCGCGCCATCTCCTGCGCACTCACATTCTTCATCAGCATGTCCATCACGGAGGTCATGGCGGGCTTGGTGTTTTTTTTGGCGAGGGCGTACAATAACTTGAGGCTTGATTAAGCTGCTACGGTCGGGCACAGGGACGCACAGCTGTCTTCGGTGAACTGTATACTGTGCTGTACTATACAGTACACTGCTGTATATACTGTACTGCAGTTGCGTGCAGTGCTGATCGCAATGGGTGGAAGTGCAGTGCATCACTGTACTGTACGCACAGTACTGTAACTGTACAGCACTTCGAGCTCCCGACGAGATGCTCCGCTGCCCGCAAAGGCCTCGCCAAGCACTTGCATCCCACAGTGCCCCGAGAATATATGCTAACTGCAGTCGGTTGTGCCATTTTGGCATAGAGCAGCAATACAAACCCCTCAGCCCCTCAACCCTAGACTCGGAGAGGTTGCACTCCAGGGTCCAAGCAAGCTGGAGGCCGAGCGAAGAGACCTGACCGTAGCTCCGCTGCCCGCAAAGGCCTCACCAAGCACTTGCCTCCCCCAATGCCCCGAGAACATATGCTAACTGCAGTCGTTTGTGCCATTTCGGCATAGAGCAGCAATGCAAACCCCTCAGCCCCTCAACCCTACAGTAAACTCGGAGAGGTTGCACTCCAGGGTCCAAGCAAGCTGGAGGCCGAGCGAAGAGACCTGACCGTGGCGAGAGGCCCGGGGTTCCCGGGAACGGGCTGGGGTTGCAGGGCAGTCTACAGTACTGTACAGTACTGTGCAGTGGCCCTGCTGCCGGAGCGGCTCCACTACTGGTAGCAAGAGTACTGTAGTGACCTGCTACATGGCCGATGTCTCCGTATGTCGTTTGCAGCACACGGCCGACTCAGGACATACCGCCTCCGGAGATGTCGATGCCGGCATGGATCTGTCAACGGCCTCACAGCCACATCAATCAGCAATGGGTCCGAGCATGCAAGCCAGCACCGTACGTGGAGACCAGCAGTGCTCCGGTATCCCTTTTCCCGCGAGCGAACCCCAATCGCGATCCGATGATCCATGTTGCCGTGGCCAAGATCATGTGCTTCCGTGGAGCTTCGTGTCTGCATCCTGCAGACGACCACCTTGTGGCACCGGCTCACCCTGCCTGACCGAACCTACAGGGGATCGGGGAGCAGCACGTCGAGCACGTGGAGATGGCGTCTTTGGGCCCACGGAGGACTGCAGCTGCACAGCATCGGCACGATCAACAGCATCGGCACGATCAGCAGAGGACTGCTGCTGCACGGCATCGGCACGATCAGCAGAAGATCCAGCCGCACGTGCGGGCCACCCAAACATGGCACTCCAGAGATCTGCTAGTGATGCCAAGGATCCTCTTGGGCGCTCGCTCTCCACTGTGTTGTCCTCGACGTCCTGGCATCCAGTTCGGCGGCGCCTTTTAAGATCCGGGACTGGCACATCGGGGCTCCCAGAGTGACTGCGACGGATGTGAGTAGCAGGAGTGACATGCTGCTCGTTCCCGGCCGGCTCAGACATTGCCGATCGTCAAATCGTGAGTGCGACCACCGTCGTCGAGGAGCCGTAAGTGCTACGGCAGAGAGACATGCCCAACTACGGTGCAGCAACACAGCATGAATATGCCCGAAGCAAGAGCCTGCCGAGGAGGCCCAAGGCCCAGGCCAATGACTCGTGTGTTGTCGGTGCCAGGTCATCCAAGGAAGCCTCGCAAGACACAGAGACATCATGTTGCCACAACAGGTGCCGCTGCATTCTCGGGCTCCGGGACCTACTGTAAAGCACTGCGAAGACTACCACAACGAAGAGGCCAGCAAACCTCAAGCCCGAGGTCCAGGCCAACGATGCACCCAAGGATGTGCCCACCACCTGCTCCCCGTTAGTCAAGTACACAGCAACGACGGGGCCCAGCAGAGGAGGCAGCTGACGCCCAAGGTCCAGGCAGCCTCGATGATGCCGTCATTCGGAGCAGGAACCTGACCAAGGGCAAGCACCAAGCAGCATTTCGGACTAGGAAAACAGAAGTAAAGGAGGCATGCCAAGGACCAGGCACCCGAGACCCGCAGCACACGAAGTGCACAGAAACAGAGGCCTGCATCGGGATGGGCACGACTGATGCACCTGCCCACGAGTCAGCACACGCAGACGTGTCAGTGGAATACGTGTGCAGGCATACCCAGACAAAGATGCACGCAGCCGACAGACAATGTTTGCACATGCGAAAGCCACCCCTCCGGTACATCCGTGAAAGTCAAGGTGAAACTCGCTTGCTGATGTTGTGTGGCTGTGGGCTTTTCTGCTGCGCTGTGCTGTGTGATGCTGTGTGATGCTGTGTGGTGTCGTGTTGTGTTGTTCTGTGATGAGATGGGCCCTGGCAACACATGAGCACATGCAAGCACCTTCTCCAGGAAGTGGCGATGTCGCTTGCCCGGCTCCAGCAGAGTCGCGATGATCTTCCGAGAGCTGTCGCAGCAAACCGTTGAGGAAGGCGGGAGGTCAGGAGCACCAGCGACCTAGCATGAAGAAGGGGAGCGAAGAGCACCAACCCGAGGCCCTCCTGTGCACGCAC